TATATATATATATATATATATATATATATATATATATATATATATATATATATATATATATATATATATATATATATATATATATATATATATATATATATATATATATATATATATATATATATATATATATATATATATATATATATATATATATATATATATTAGGAATGCAATAATACAGTAAGCTCACGGTTTAATACATACCTCGGTTTTTTAACCTGGTTTTCGTTTCGGTTGGGTTCTCATGGCTTGACACGTATGTTTTTTTTTATTCTATAGGCAATAGGAACAGTAAAGGGTTAAGGAGAAAAAAATAAAAACGATTTATTGCAATACTCATTTTGTTTTACTTAAAAGCCAAGAAAAGTACACTAGTTCCTAGTGTATTGTCTAAAATAAATTAACACTGAAATCTCAGTTTATATTTAAATATTTCCCAAATGATGTTAAACAGAGCAAGGAAATTTTCACAGTTTATTTGATAATATTTTTTCTTCTGGAGAAAGTCTTAATTGTTTTATTTAGACTAGAATAAAAGCAGTTGTTAATTTTTAAACACCATTTTAAGGTCAAAATTATTTCCCCTTATTTATTAGCCCCTCTGTTTATTTTTCCCCCAATTTTTGTTTAACGGAGAGCAGATTTTTTTCAACACATTTCTAAACATAAAAGTTTTAATAACTCAACTCTAAAAACTGATTGATTTTATTTTTGCCATGATGACAGTAAATAATATTTGACTAGATATTTTTCAAGACACTTCTATACAGCTTACAGTGACATTTAAAGGCTTAACTAGGTTAATTAGGTTAACTAGGCAGGTTAGGGTAGTTAATCAAGCTATTGTATAATGATGGTTTGTTCTGTAGACTATCTGAAAAAAATGTAGCCTAAAAGGGCTTATAACAATTTTACAAACTATTTCTTTAATGATTTCTCTTTTGTTTTTCTGGGTTTGACCTTTAAAGGGTTAACGAAGTGGGTAACTGAAGGTCATGGGAGAAGCAGCTCCGACCCAGGCCACCCCTAGTGGTTTTGCACCCATGTTGGGCGTCGGGATGGGAGGATCAATCACACCGATGGCCACTTCAAGAGGATCAGCCGTTCCTCAGCTCCACAGCGCCATCGTGGAGCGCCTGCGTGCCCGGATAGAGCTGTGCCGGCGCCACCACTCCACCTGCGAAAACCGCTACGAGCGCGGCCTGGCTGAAAACTCAGACCGGGAACACGAGAGCACACTCCAGCTCCTAAACATCGTCCATCAGGGACCGGGAACCAGGAAGACCAAGGGCAGCAGATCGGCCTCTCAGCATCCTTCTGAATTCATCAGAGGGAACGGAGAACATAAAGGCCACGGAGCGTCAGACGCAGAATCCAAAATCTCCTCGCAGATAGCAGTAAGTTGCTTTATGGGTTGTGTGAACTACACCCTCGTTTTAAATCTCGCAGCCTGTCGAATACACACGGGGACACATGTCAGAGCCATTCCCTGGAGAATGACATCAGCACACTGATATGATGTGATTACTGAGGGTGTGTGAGGCAGAGATGGGGGCGTCTGTGTAATTAAAAAGGGCCCTGCAGGCAGGCACATGACTCTTTAAGGGCCTTTAAAAAATGTAGTAAAACAAAATAAAGCCTAAATAGCGTACATCATTTCCACCATATACTTCAGTCACATGCTTGAATGCCATTGTGTTAGATGGATTTAAAAGGGGCTGTTCTCATGAAACTGACCGTTTCATTACAAGCTCATTCATCTTTAGATCAAACACTATTTGGTATATATACAGTTGAAGTCAGAATTATTAGCCCCTCTGAATTATTGGCCCCGCTGTTTATTTTTTTCCTCAAATTTCTGTTTAACGGAGAGAATATTTTTTCAACACATTTCTAAACATAATAGTTTTAATAACTCATCTCTAATAACTGATTTATTTTATCTTTGCCATGATGACAGTAAATAATATTTGACCAGATTTTTCAAGAAACTTCTATACAGCTTAAAGTGACATTTAAAGGCTTAACTAGGTTAATTAGGTTAACTTGGCAGATTAAGGTTAGGGTAATTAGGCAAGTTATTGTATAATGATGGTTTGTTCTGTAGACTATTGAAAAAAATAGCTTAAAGAGACTAATAATATTGACCTTAAAATTGTGTTAAAAAATTAATAATTGCTTCTATTATAGCCAAAATAAAACAAATAAGACTTTCTCCAGAAGAAAAAAATATTATCAGACATACTGTGAAAATTTCCTTGCTCTGTTAAACATCATTTGGGAAATATTTTAAAATAATAAATATTAAAAAATAAAAAACTAATAATTCTGAATTAAATTATATATATACTTGATATGTGCTTGAATCTGATTGGTTGGTAGCCGTGCGATAACAGCATTTGTGCAGACTCCTCACTCTTCTGTATTACTCCACCCGCATACAGTGACAAGAGGACACTTTACAGTTTGACAAATATTGCAGCTATTCGACAACATAATGTACTTTTGAGGCTTTTTTAATCGAGAATGTAGTTGTTTACATTGCGACTATGCAGTTTATTTATAATGATAGTGCCTATTTCAAAATATTTATCATTTCTAAGAGACAGCGTGTCGGCACCATTAGCCAAAGACGGTTGACGTTGTCTATTCACAAGATGGCGCCAGGACTCATAAGCCCTTGCTTAAAAGATTAAAACTACATTTAATTTTTTTACATTTAATAACTACAGCTGATCAAATTATTATTAAACTATTAAGTGATATTCTAAGTCGATCTCTCTCTTTTGTATGGATTGCAGCTTTGCAGTTTATTTATAAGGACAGAGCCTATTTTAATACAGTTACTTTCCTATCTCGATTCTTAACAGTGTTATTCAGAGACCTCACCCCCGAACACCCCCTCCGCATCGCAAACACAACAGCAGTCGGGTAGTGATTTCGTTGCTTTTTTCGGGGTTAATTATTGTGATATCCCAATTGCAACAAAGACACTGTAGACTGTAACACTGTAAGAACATATCTTTGTAGATGAGTGCATTTCATGTCACGTTCAGCCTTATAATCTTAAAATGTCAGCGAAATCAGCTGTTTTATCATCACTTTAGACATTAAGCTAGAGAATCATTCAAATACTTGCTCTAAAGTGACAAGTATCAAATATCAATATATTTATATTGACAAGTATCAAATATGAGCAATATCAAACGAGTAGCAGTGCGATAAGGCTGTTTATCAGCACTGGTGGGATGCTAAGGCAATCGGCCTGCGGCCTTGTGCCAACGCACGATTCCCACCAGTGCAGATATACAACAATATTGCACTGCTACTCGAGTGATATTGCTCATATATAGCATATTAGGGCTGCTAGATTATGCGAAAAATCATAATCACGATTATTTTGGTCATAGTTGTAATCACGATTATTCAAAACAATATACAGTTGAAGTTATTTACCCTCCTGTGATTTTTTTTAAACAATTTTTTTCCAAATTATGTTTAACAGAGCAATGCATTTTTCCCAGTATTTCCTACAATATTTTTTTTTCTTCTAGAGAAAGGCTTATTTGTTTTATTTTGTCTAGAATAAAAGCAGGTTTAAATATTTATAAAACTATTCAAGGTCAATATTATTAGCCACTTTAAGCAATATTTTGTTTTGACTGTCTGCAGAAGAAACTTTGACTTGATTATGAGTTGCCTAATTACCCTAGTTAAGTCTTCAAATGTAACCTTAAGCCGATTGCCTGTATCTTGAATTACATGTAGTCATTTAGAAATGTGTTGAAAAAAAATCTGTTAAAAAAATAATTCAGGAGGGCTAATAATTCTGACGTCTGTCCAATGTTGGACACTGACGTCAGTCTGACGTTAAGTTCTGATGTCAACCTGAGTGCAATTTCCAACAACGTTGGGGTACAACATCAATCTGATGACATGCTGATGTCCTGTGCATGCTGGGGAACATCAGGCAGCTGCTGGGGAACTCCAGGGACATCAGGCTTATTGTACATCTTGTAAAAAAGGGGCATGATAGGCCCCCTTTAAGTATAATATCAGTATTTAGTTTGTTAGATACACTGCAGCTCTAGTTTATAACAAGAATATTATTGTGAAATGATGAAGTGAGGCTTTAGGGTTTCCTTTCAACAGATTTGCAGATTTAGAAAACACACATCGATGTCTTTTCAGCAAACATTACAAAACACAGACACAAATTGCTTGGTGATGAAATCCTGCAAACACCGCATGAATGGCCCTGTGTTTTGTTCCGTCCGCGTATCGTCGTGCTCTTTTATCGCAGGTTTGATAAATAGCCCTCAAAGCACCTTCTTGAATGATCGCCTTCCCATAAAGCTGCTTGAAGCGTGCAGCCTGCATATAAATGTTTAGCACACGTCCCGGTTTTGTTTACTCAAAGTCAAACGGGCCTTGAAAACACGATTGTCAGAGGACTGCCCAGTAATGAAGTGTTACGGGCTTATGGATGAATTTGTTTTTTCCTCATTTCGGAGTTATGACCAACTTGGGAACAGAGGGGGGATTGTTGGAATATCCTCTCACGGAAAAGAAAGTGGGATATTATGAGTGCTCTCTTCACTTATCTGAAGAGATCAGCCTTCAGTGTGTTTCAGTTGAACCGAACAATAACTGTACAGTCCGTTCGGTATTTCATTATGAAGTTTCATCCATTATTTACTTTGGATGAGTAAGTGTGCTTAGTTGAACATATACTTTTAGTGCACTTCACATTTCAAGTGTATTTGACATGCAGAAAATGTAACATTAAAATAGTGGGTTATCTTTAAAGGGTACCTATTGTGTAAAAATCACTTTTATAAGGGGTTTTAACACAGTTATGTTGCAATATTCTGTGGATATAATCATCTTTTAATGGTAGACATTACTTAATTTTATGTTTTATAATCACACTTGATAAAAACATTCTGCAGAAACACTTTAATTGACATTCTGCATATGTACGTGTCATGAGACGGAGAAAGCCCCGCCCACTAGTGATGATCTCTCCCTCATTAGCATATGACATTAGTCTCGTTTTGAATCTGCCACTATGCTGACACATAGCTCTGCCCTCTTTTGAAACAAGCACAATCTCATTTGAATTTAAAGCGACAGTCACCAAAATGGCATAGTTAGGATCAAAGCCTAAAAGGGGCAGTTTCAAAGAGTTATAATGTTTTTTTATTAATATTTGTGTTGTATTTTGAGAAGAAACTTCACATACAAACTCTAGGGACATCAGAGACTTATTTTAGATCTTGTAAAAAGGAACATAATACTGTAGGCGCCTTTAATAATCGTTAGTCATACTTCATATACACTCGTTCACAACTTACAAACCACTTTAGTATAATTTTAACTGTGGTGTTTAAAATAATGTTTAATTGCATTGTAATTATAATTATGTGCAAATTAATCATTATAAATGTGACTCTTGACCACAAAACTAAAAAACAAACTTATCAATGATAGATTTTAACATCATCTGAAATCTGTAATGATGTATGGTCTGTTAGGCTAGGACAGTATTTGGTCAAAATAGAACTAGAACTAGAACTAGAAAACCAAAGAAAGTTATTAGCAATTCACATTACTGGTTAAATAAGTTTGTATATATTTACAGTGGGAAGGTCACAAAATGTCTTTATATAACATGGTTTTTATGGAATATTGTGTTAATTTTTTACATAAAAAAAGAAATTGATGATTTTGACCCATACAAGGTATTGTTGGCTATTTACATAAATATACATGTGCAAAAAAATGACGCAAAAAAAAAAGGTTTTGTGGTCCAGAGTCACAAATGTGTAATAACAATAAATCATAAAATTAAATTGAAAAGTATCTGTTAGTTTAGAATATTTCCAATTTAACTAGGTCTAAAAAGCACTCTGATCAACTAATCGACACAATCAACCAATAACATAAGAGTTTTACATTTGCATTTAATAGAAAAAGTAAAACATTCCTGTGTGTGTTTGTATATTTGTATGTATGTATACTGTGCATGTATGTCGCTTTAAATTCAAATGAGATTGTGCTCTTTTCAAAGGAGGGCGGAGCTATAAATGGCTGCATGTCATCATAGTGGCAGCTTCAAAAACAAGACTTATGTGCTATGCTAATGAGGGAGAGATTGTCACTAGTGGGTGGGGCTTACCCCCTCTGATGACACGAATTTCAATCAAATTGTTTTTGCAGGCTGTTTTTATTAAGTCTGATTATAAAATCTAAAATTAAAAAATTTTTACTTTTAGGAGCTGGATATATTGCAAATCTGTTTCCACATAGCTGTGTTTAAATCCCTCATAAAAGTGATTTTTGCATAATAGGTCCTCTTTAAGTTTAATTTTTGCTTATGCTCTATTCAAAAGCA